AAAGGGAATCCTGTGTGGAGAGGGCCAGCAAAAAAAAGAGGAAGGTTCTCAAGAAGGATTGACACAGTAGCTGCAACAATGGGCTCAAACAGTTTGACGATCCCTTCACTACCCTAACGATCATTTTAAGTATTAAAAAATGGTATACTGAAAGGTAATTTATTATTTCATATGGTAAGTACTTAAGTGTTAGTCTGAGTAGACTAGAGAAACAAATCCACAGAAACTCATATGTGTATAGAGATAATTTTCTATAAAGGTTTAGTGTACATTCAGAAAGTATCCTAACCCAGTCCAGTCCATATGTCCGACACCGATCTACGAAGTCCTCCTCAAACTCACAAAACACACGCAATGACGCTGAATGCAGGACGATCACAGGCCAGTGGGTAAAATTATCTTTGAATCCAGTGGCGGTATAAGCATCTTAGTGCTGGCAGGGGTCCTCACATGGCTTCTCCAGCACACAGGGCTGCCTCAGGGTGGGTCCGTGTGGCTTCTTCTCATGGGTGTCTCGCAGGAAGTGAGCCTTGCCTGCTGAGGCAGAGAACAAGCTAAGTCAGCCACACACTGCTCCAACCATCAGAGACCAAGAGATGGGAAGGCGAGACTTGCTGAGCCATTTACCTCTTTGCTCTTCAATTAAACTGCAACCTTATAAATCCCACATATGTTTATCAGCCAGGTTGGCACAATAAACCCAACTATCATGATTAATGGAAAAATATTAACTAATATATGGCAAAAAGCAACAAAGCTGTTATTGAAGATATTTCCATATTGCTTCTTGACTCATGTTCTTCACTTTTAACCAAGCATCATCGGCTGTGATTTATCCATAACTATCTTTTCACTGTAGAAGTAGGATCCCATTCCTTAGAGGTAGGCCAGTTAGACAATGGTCATTGTGTTTGATATGTTAGAAACAGGCGACTTCTCATCTCTGAACATATGTTCATTTTTGAAAAAACCCTTTTAGCTTCTGCTGAATTTACTGCAACTGTTCTGACAGTGTTTTTAGCTCCTTGAACACCTTCAGGAGTTGCATCATCCACTCATACTATCTAATGGGAATTTGGGGCGTAACACACAGCCGAAAGGAATGGCAGCATGTTACCCTCTGGTTTGGGGGCACTTTTTCTCTTTACATTATGTTTGTTTACAGAAGTAACAAATGCAAGGGAATAAAATGTAGCAGTTCATCAAAAGCATAATGAATTTTGTGAAATGAACAAATAATATAAGCATAATGTTCTAATTTCTTAAATCTATAGACAGAATGAA